CACCACAGTACAGATATAAGACAGACTTTGCTCTGTGTACTTCACAAATTTTCATTGGTGTCATCCAGTGAGGTCAGTGAAATAGCTGGGATGTTACACTGTGTAGCTCCCTGCCCATCTACAGAGCTTCAAATCAAATGTATTTCGTTTGGTTAATACAGCACAAAATAGTAATTCACTACAATAAAACAGCAACTGTGCACAATTGTAACCACTTTCAAATAAACCACATCAGTAAATTATGTTTCAAAAAATGTATTTATACAATTTATGCTTAGAAGTTTACTTACAAGGCAACAACATTTTGAAACAAGTTAATTTGATGAGTGTAGTAAAGCTCAGTTGCAAATGGCTCCACAGGTAAGGAAGACATGTTAACATACTGTATGTCACTTTGTAGCTCTGATCAGAGCTAACTGTAGATACCATTAAGGCAACTGGGTACCATGGCTGAACAAAGAAACAAATGAATTTTGTAACAGTGAATGTTTAGCACATCAATTACATGGTGGCCCATTTGTAACTGATACAGTACATGAAGTTTTTCTATATATATATATTTTGGTAACTGTTCACACAGAACCTGAATAAAGTAAACTATTTAAACATTTTGTTATGCATCACCTCTTCTGCACTGGGCCTGTATGTTCCCTCCATCCTCCTTTTCTTCCTGATGACACAGAGCAGCAGCAGCAGACTCAAGCTGATCAGGGACAATGTGGTGGAGACCAATGCCGACACTGTAGGGGGGATTACCACCTGCATTACCATGGTGACAGACAGCTGGGGAGGAAATCACACACAGGTAAAGCTGTTAGAGGGATCCGTAAATTAATAACTCCAGATTAAACTTAACTATTGATGATAAAATCTTGGTAATGCGCTAGTCTGTAATTTCCAAATAATTTCCAACAGGTTTTCTAGAAAAAAATATGTAATTTGGAACTGAGTTATTAGAAATGTGTTCGATTGATACACTTCAAATTAAAAGCATAACCTAAAGTCTTCGAGTCAGTCCGGTGACTTGCCTTTACAGCTTTAAAAGCACACAACCAGATGTCCTCAGTGATGTAAAAGCATCTGAACTGTCAAGGAACAGATCTTTGATTACCAGGAAAAAGATTTTATCAATTCCTGACACTGCAAGACAGTTAAGTGATTGAATGTTATACTGACACAATATTCATGTAATGTGGTGTTGCAATAATTATTTTCATTAATGATTAATCTGCAAATTATTTTAACCAGTAATTCAATTAATTGTTTAGTCTAAAAATATGTGATAACAATAATAATAAAATTAAATGCCAATTCAAATTTCTCAGGGTGCAAAGTGATGTTATCAAATGTCCTTCCAACTTCCCAAAGTGAGCACAAGCATAAACTTTACTTCCAAGTATTATGAAAAATACAAGGAATTTGACTCCAGCTCAATGGCCCCCAATGTGCAAAGCAAAAAATAAATAAATGCAAAATATATACTATTGAAGTTATAGTTTATGTTCAAAAAGAGAAAAGCAAATCCTCAGTAATGAGAAGGGTGAACCAGAGAATGACAAATTAAATTAATATCATCAGCTAGAATTATTACTATCTATGTTGATCATACTGCTCTAATTAAGGGAATAAAAATATATGGGCTGAAACAATTAGTTGATTAACTAAGCCACAGAAATTCAAACTACTTGTTAATCAAATAAGTCACTTAAAAATACTACAGATTTGTTGCGTTTCTTTTGTCATTTTCCTTTACATTATTACATCATTTACATTTTACATTAAACTGTTCAGATTAAAATGGAGCTTAATTCAAATACAGCAGACCATTACAGTGGCTGCATTGCACAGGAAAACCTTTATCATAATAAACTGGGATAAATGTATATACAAGTCTATAAATTAACATGTATCCGTAAATGAGATATAACATGTAATGTAACAACCAAAACCACAGAATTAGCTCTGAAAACAAAACATCTATGATGAATCAGAAGGTTAAAAAAACTCCCACCGTAAATGTCTTTACTCACCACAAATACAGGTTCTTCTGTTACTGCAGCTCCAGTAAATTGTGTTCACCTATGCCTTTTTCTAATTTCCACCTGATCCTCTATAAAATAATTACACCAATACACACACAAAGTTTAGTATTGCCACAGGCAGATGTGTGTGTGTGTGTGTGCGCATGGGTCCTCCCAGCTAGGAATTTTTTGTTACAAAAACGTTCTCATTATGTTTCAGGTTTTTTTTAAGAAAATGTCATTTTAGAATGTTCCAATCATGTTCTCAGTGGCAAGTTGTTAGAAAATTCCTAGAACATTCATATTGTGGGTGTAAGAACATTTTATGGTAACATTGAAAAATGTATATACAGTATTCTCAGAATGTTATAACAAAATCATTCTTGGAAGGTTTTAACCCATTGTTACCATAACATTTTAGTTTTGCAAACATTCCTACAACATTCTTTTGGTGGGTATAATAATAACAATAATGTTACTACATAATGTTTTTCTGACCAAATGTTCTTAAACCATTTCAAATATGTTAGTCCCTATGTTTTTAGTGGGAAGGTTTTCATACGGTTCCTATAATGATTTTTTTCTGGGTACAGGAACATTTGTTCAACGTTCTTAAAACAATAGTAACCTAACATTTAAAACCTAAAAAATATATATTGGAATGTCATAATTTAAACAGTCATGGGATTCAATTGGGGATAGTGAACCTTTAGTTCATTCACTTCTCCGGGAAGAATTCCTCCCAGAGAAGTGAATGTTTCAGGATTTGGAAATCCCATGTTCACAGCAACTTCTAATTACTTCCCTTGAGAAATGTTCCCCAACTTCAAAACTTTGGCTAAAGTGGAGCTGGCGGGTCTGGTCTTCAGTGTGGCAGCAGATTTAGCTTTCAGATAAATTATAACGACCATGAGAAACCTCGTGACATTTGTCTTTGCAGCAGTCTACAGCAAGTCAGCTGAGTTCAATTCAGTGAGCCTATCTTCTTGTAAATGGGTTGTTCATATTTAAATGGTAATTGTGTCATTTTGTAAAATTGCAATGTTCATATTTGCTTGTTTACACACAATGGCCGCAGTGTTTTAGTTGTCTCTGCTGTCACTGGAGAAAAAAGTCATCTGCTTCATGTGATGTTGACACGAGAATTCCCTGTTCATAAGCTTTTTCTCTTTATTAATTATAAAAAAAAATGAAAATGAATGAAAGGTCAATGCTATTAAATATGTTATTATAAAAAAAATTAAAATTAAATTGACAGGTAATAATAAATTATGACAGAATTTTTATAACCCTCAAAATAACAGACAGTGACAAAGTCTAGTGTGACCTCTGTTCTGAGCTGAAAACTGAACGTTTCCTTTATGGGATTTTCAACATTTTTTCATTTGTACATATAAACATCAACATTATATTGATATTCCAACAAGCTCTCACTTCTTCTAGATTGGTCTCTGCATTCATGCATATCTCAGTGTTGCTGCTTATTGTTTATCTTTGTGCCTTTAGATTTATCATGACTTAGATGACTGAACTTTTTCATATATGTATGTTTTCTGAATCACAGCTTTAAAATTTGTTTGTCTATATCCCTGAATTTACTTTGTGTCACTTGGCTGAGAGCAAAATTATCAAACCTTAAACTGCTTTGTCTAGTTGAACTGATCATAGATTGTTATATAGTCACCATACAGTAACCACTACTTGTTTAATTTGTGACATTAACCAGAAGTAAATCTGTATATCAGCCACAGACAATGAGATTAAGACCGTAACATTTTATTCAGCAATGTAAAACTTTATCTTCTGAATCCCATATATCTCATAGTAGTGAATGTTTTACACAACAAGGACAATTCAAAGTCAAACAATTTGAAAAGAACATTTTTATCTCCTTGAGTTTTACTTTTGTTGACATCCAGAGACTGAGTACTGCTGGATCATTTCCACTATACCCAAGCAGGTGGGTCTGTGCTCCTCATCTTGACACTCTTCCTCTGTGGGCCAGTACTCGATCCAGGTTCTCCCACCGAGCATGTACTGATATCTGTGGAGAGCAAAGTGAAAAATACAATGAGTTTTCACATTATTAGATATTTGTTCTTAGGGAAATAGAATTATTCAAGGCCACCTGCATGCAGTTCATTTATTTTCATAACTCATTCTACAATCTACAACATGGTGGAATAAAAATAAAAGATAAATATCACAGCAAATACAAATGAGTTTTGCTTCACAAAAAACTAAACATTCAGAGTTATATTTTTGTGCTATGACCAGTACAAGCAGTGACATATTTTGTTGACCTTGACATTTACTTTATCTGTTTGTATGGTATTTAACACAGTGCTAAGATAATAGACACATATAAACTGGGTTTGTTTCTGGTGCAAAGTCACTCTGCAGACAGTTTAGCGATTCTATCAAAAAAACAAGGCAAACTTGGAGGAACCATTATGGAGGAATGGTTAACTATGTAAATTTAGTGAAATACTATAGTTTCCAACTTGAAGATCAGTTTAATTCAACATCTAAATAAAGGTTAACTGTGACTGTTACAGAAAGGTTGATAAAGCTGTCATTGCATGCATTTACCTATAGTAAATTAATACAAATGACTGAAACCCTCTAACCATTCTACTCCACTCGGTTGTCCTGTACATAGTGCTGCTGTGCTTACATGTTAAGATAATTTAATAACTCCTTTACATGACTCAAACACCACCATCAAACAATAATTACAATGTAGGCATGCTTTATGTGCTCAAGGACTGTATGTTGTATGCAGTAATATAAAGCAGGGAAATAGTTAAAATGTTTAAATAGTGACAATATTACAAGAGCAGCTACACACACACACACACACACACAGAACAAACTCACGAGAATGTTTGGTCATCTCTATAAACATCTTTGAATGTGCCCATGATGAGGTAAGTTTTGTCTTTTCTCATATCTACAGCTTCCCTGCAGTGAGGATGACTGAGAAATGTGCGCACTTTGCCCAGAAGGTCCACATCAAGACTTCCTGCAATTAAATTATATAGTAGGAGAAGAGAATGCAGGGGAACATAATTAATGACACAACAGGTTTCATATACTGTTGTACTAATTTCAAATACAAAAAAACTTAAGATTTTTTTCTGCCTGTCTGGAAAAACAATCTGGGTGATGGCTATGTCACTTTTAAGCCACTGTAAGAAACATTACAGTAGATAAGTTCAAAGGAGATACTGTACATAGTCACCATCCAAACTTCCCCTTATTATAACATAAGTAAGTACAGTAGATACACAGCATTAAAATGTTTGACATTCTCCTAAACTTCTCATGTATAAATGGCTAAGGATTTTGTCTGACTAAATACACCACAAGGAGGGAAAGGAAAATGGCCACATGGGAAAGAGAAGACTAACACTCACCTTCTTTAATAACGTTCACTATTCGCACTTGGTAAGTGTCAGTGGACAAGCCCTCTGTATAATTCTCCACTCTTACTTTGTATGCTGACAGGAAACAAGTTGCACATTGTTGTGTTACTGCTTGCTCGCTCACTCATTCACATGTCACTGACTCACAAACACTTACCAAAATCTGTTTTGCTGGTCGATGTGATCTCACAAACCTTTTCACTACGGTAAGTGTTTCTGACTTTGAACTTTTGTATACTGCAGTTCTCTGGAAATAAACAATTGGCAAAGAGTGAAAATACAACTGATGACTCAAATGAATGAGCACATGGGCATGTCTGCATCTATGGTGCACGAGCTATTGCTATACCTGTGTAGTGTGTTTGTTTTTTATGCATCTGCGACTGTGATAGCTGCGGCCAGAGGCATTATGTTTTCAGATTGCACTCTGTCTGTCCATATAATTCTTATGAATGGAATTTCTTCAAAATTGGCACAAATGTCCTATTAGACACATTGTGATGAGTCATTCACATTTCCAGCACACGAGTTTCCTTTGTGTTTTGGTTAGCCATGCTGCTAATGTAGCCTACTCTACCTTAGCACCAAGTCTACCACCAGTGTGTCGGCATTGATAGATAAAAAAAACAAACAAACAAACACAGTTTAACATCCAGCACTAATGATAATGCATGGCATGTCATTATGGTGTGTTAACTGTGGCTCAAGTTCAACAGTGAATAGCAGTGAATGTTCATGCTAACAAGGTAAGAAAAAGAGTCTCCTTCCTGTGGGAGTACATGTCCCCAATTGTCCCCCGTACGTGATTGGTCAACACAGAGCCTTTGCCGGATGATGTCACCATCCAGTGCAGTGAGGGTGAAAATAGCATAGAAGGTCACACAGAGCTTCACTTAGAAGTTAGAAGCTCGTGCATAGTTCATGCACAGTTATAAGGTCTGAAGAGATTCATGAAATTGTACAGGAGAGAAGCCAGCCAGCTGAGTTTGTGGCAAAACCTGCATGTTGTTTTTAACTGCATATGATAATTCCTACTCAAAGTAGAACGGAGGTCACAGTCATTACAAGATGATTAGTTTAAACATTTCAAAATGCACCTGCACTGTTTTGCATTTTGTGACTTTCAGTCGAATAAAATATGATTTTTCCAGTCATACGTATATTTTGTCATTGAAGATTTCTTGAAAATAGTGTTAAAATATCATCTCGTCTTATTCTTGTGAACTTGTTATTGTGTATTGTCTCATCTCGTGAGCTAAGTGTATTGTCACAACCCTAATGTTAACATTAAAATTTATCTTGGTGCACTATTAAAAGCTGTTAGATTGGGTGTAGACTCTTAGCTTTGTTTAACCAGCTCTTGGTCTCAAGTCATCTAACGTTACTTTACTGCAATGCTGACTTGCTAAAGTAAGACAATGCAGGATGACAAATAATCAGCGCTTTACCTTTAGGACGCACAAAGTTAGTCTTTACTTGTACCCTCATGGTGTAACAAATTTAAGCGTTAAAGCTTCCATGTTCAGACAGTTTCCTCTTTACCTTCGCCACATATGCATTCATCATTCCTACAGAGCCGCTTCAGCTGTCCAGCTCTCCTCTCTGGATGGTAGAATTTCACACAGCGTTTTTCTGCAACAAAGATATTTGATCAACTGTGTTGTGGTACATCAGAAAATATACATTACTCTGAAAATATAAAAGTGCCCACTTATCTGTTATCTATTCTGACATCTATTTGCAGCAAAGAAAAATCTTGAAACACATTAAAGTTGCATATACTTCTCAGTGTCTTTGCTACTTACGGTCATAATATTCATAGACAGACACAGCAGCTGGCTGTAAGACACCCACTTTCATCTTCTGATGGATCCTAAAACTAATCTCCTCTGGTCGTGTGTGAGAAACCTGCGGCAAAATCCACAACAAAAGTATTTTTTTTATAGAAACAAAGAAACACATTAACAAAACAGTACCGAACATGAGAGACAAGATAACAGTTACATGACATTACAAAAGGATATACAGTGTTTAACGAGGTTGTAGTGTGTGAAGTGTGGGTATTTCCAACTTATGCAGTCTATGAAATGCAAGAAAGGAAAAAGGAGGGGAAAAAAATAAATAAAAAATTACCAATAATAATGATGATGACAGTACTACTAATAAAATCAGCTGGTTACATTTATAGAGGTTGGTGGGAATGTGCGTGGCCTTAGCCGCAGGTATTTGGTTCAAGTTAAAATGTGTTAAAAATGGGTTCCATGTGTCATAAAAAGCAGATCAACTATTCTTGTGAGTGGATGTCATGATGATGCATCAGTCACACCTGTTTCTCACAGCATATAGCAGCTCCTCACTCTGTAGGGACCTGCCAGATTGTTCTATGTCTCAACTAGACTCTCCAGCGTTCTTTCTGCTTGATCCTCTGAATACCATGTCCTGCTTGTGTTATTGACCCGAGATTCTGCCTCACCCTTTGTATTGGACTGCTTTCCTGGTAACGACCCCTTGCCTGCATTAACGACTAGAGATTCTGCCTTGCCTTCCCTACTGCCATGCTGGAGATATCAACCCTAGACCAGACTATTATGATGATGATGATGATGATTCAGCATTTTATTATTATTATTCCGTATGTTTTTTGGCACTTAACTACTTCAGCATACTTTCAGCTAAAAAAGCCATTCAGGTATCAAAATGTTTGGCTTTTTCAAGAGATGCGCGGATGTATACAACTTTTTTGTAACTTTTATACTTTTTAAAATATTCAGCTTTATTCTGAAAAATTTTCCCCATTCAAATGAATGGGGAAATTTTTACTTCTTCATATTTTCAGCTATTACAGCTATTAAAATGTTCAGCTCTTCAAGGACATTCATGCTTCTATTCAGAACTTTTCAAAACTTCATACTTTTGAAATATTTAGCTTTATTTTGAAAATCTTGCCCCATTGAAATGAATGGGAAGATTCTACTTCATCAAACTTTCAGCTATTTCAGCTATCAAAATGTTCAGCTCTTCATGGACATTCACACTAATATTCAGAAATTTTCTAAACTTCATACATTTTAAATATTCTGATTTATTTTGAAAATCTTGCCTCATTCAAATGAATGCTGAAATTGAACTTTTGCATACTTTCAGCTATTTCAGCTATCAAAATGTTCAGCTCTTCATGGACATTCATGCTTCTATTCAGAACTTTTCAAAACTTCATACTTTTGAAATATTTAGCTTTATTTTGAAAATCTTGCCCCATTCAAATGAATAGGAAAATTCTACTTCACAATTCTACTTCACTGAACTTTTAGCTATTTCAGCTATCAAAATGTTCAGCTCTTCATGGACATTCATACTACTATTCAGAAGTTTTCTAAATGGTCTTGGTCTTATACTTGTATAGCGCCTTGCGATGCTTTTACAGCACACTCAAAGCGCTTTCACATTATTCGGCCATTCACCCATTTGCACTCACGCATTCACACACCGGTGACATCACCGGGAGCAACTGGGGATTGTATGGATGCTGATTCAGCATCCATACTATGTTATCCTATTATTGTATGGATGCTGATTCAGCATCCATACTATGTTTTCCAATTATTTATTTCTTTATTATTATTATTCCGACCGTTTTTTCGCACTTAACTACTTCAGCATACTATCAGCTAGAAAAGCCATTCAGGTATCAAAATGTTTGGCTTTTTCAGGACATGCGCGGATGTATACAACTTTTTTGTAACTTTTATACTTCTTAAAATATTCAGCTTTATTCTGAAAATTTTTCCCATTCAAATGAATGGGAAAATTTTTACTTCATAATTTCAGCTATTAAAATGTTCAGCTCTTCAAGGACATTCATACTACTATTCAGAAGTTTTCTAAACTTCATACTTTTGAAATATTTAGCTTTATTTTGAAAATCTTGCCCCATTCAAATGAATGGGAAATTCCAACTTCAGCATACTTTCAGCTAGCAAAACCATTCAGGTGTCAAAAAGTTCAGCATTTTCATGGTGATCTTTCAGCACTCAGCATCCATACGCATTTTCTTTAGAAAATGCAATTTTCTAGTTCCATCTTACTGGCTCTTTAATCGGGTTCACACCTACACCTTCACGAGAGCTGTACTTTCACCTCCTTTACAGGTCAGTGGACTAGGTAGGATGCTGTTTTTAGAAAGCTAACTTGCTGCTGAATTTTCTAAATGTCATTTTTAAAGCTGTGAGAATCCATATTTCATTTGCTTTTCAAAATGAAACCAAAATTTTCAAAAAGGAAAAAATGACTTTTTTTTCAATATTCTTTTCAAAAAGCATGGATAATGGCTTGTTTTCCAATTTCTGATTTTGTGGTCAAATAAAAAGCAAGCACTTCCATTTTCTGATTTTGTGGTCAAATAAAAAGCAAGCACTCCCATTCTCATCTGACACAAGCGCTGTGATCAGAAAGTGACCGATTTGTGAGTGCCCCCCCCCCACCTAAACTGTTGCTGAATACAGAACCTTCTGATTGACATTTCTGAGCATCTCAGGACACTTAACAGCCGTGATGCAATGGAAATCTTAGCATGGAACTTTGGTCTGTGTACATATCATTCATTTGTGATACCTACAAACTCTGGAGATCAAACTTATTGGAAAGGAAGCAGAAAAAGAGTCACCAGCGCCCAGGATTTTTAAAGTAAAACCAATGAGTCATGCTATATAAGTTCTACTTCTACAGATGTATGTGTAAACATATTTGTGGTGCTGTTGTGCGCATGACCTTAGAGGGTTGTCTGTCCATTCAGTGTTAAGTTTTTCTGTTCAACAGTGGAGCTAACTTCTGTAGGCTGGGTAACTAACAGCTGTATGCTAATGGTACTGGTTTACCCGCAACTGTTTTGCATCTCTGACTATTTTATAATGCAAGGCTGAGTAAAATAGTTGGATTTACTGTATGATGAAGCTTATGCTGGCCTTGCACTAGATGTTTATATTAAGACTCAAAATACTTTTCAAAGATTAAAGTCTGACACCTCACATCCAAAGACTAGATCTCTCTTGAAACTTCTTCCCATGTGCTCCTGTGTTTGGCTACGCAGGAGTGTGTGTGTGTGTGTGTGTGCGCGCGCGGTGTTGGGGGGGACAGCAGAAGAGACGGCTCACCTATTGGTTTACTATGTTCACGTCACTCTCTGCATGAGCCAAGACTAAAGAACTACAATAATAAAAAACTGACTTAACTTGGATCACCACCTTACAACAAATGACTGAGATGACAGGAGCATGACAGCTCTAGCAAAACACTCATGATTTTATTCTGACATTTAAGACACGAAATTGCGAAGTCATTAGGTGTAAGGCCGTTACATGAAAAGACGCTCTTAATGTCCAAAATGGAGTTTTTTGTTATGTTTTTCCTGTTTTTGATTTTGCCTACAAAATGGGAAACTGGAAAACGAGCTTTTACCCCCTGTTTTTGGTTTTGGAAATGGAGACGGAAGAAACAATTTGTCTTGATTTTTGGTTTTATTTTGAACAATGAATTATACATTGATTTGTGAGTACCACAAAGAAAATGTACACTGATCAATACATCTAGAGTTAAATGAGAATTTTTTTTTTTTTGAGTGGACTGACCCTTTGACTGTGGATGGACTCAAGTGAGCGCAGACTGGCCAATGACAAAGTTCCTGACATCACCAAAATGGCTCTCTAGAAGTATCTACAGGCTTTATTACATAACTGAGAAGCACCGCTAGTGATGCTTGAAGAATGAATGTTGTTTTCAATAAAACCTAATTCAATTTGATTTTGAGAGAGGGAGGCAAAGCAAAAGGAGTTGAGGGGATAAAACAATTTGTCCAAAAAAGATGAAGAGCAAGCCTCTTTCTGACAGAACAGCGATGAACAGAAAAATAAGGTAATGGACAGGAGGAAAGACTGTCTTACCTTGTCCAGGTAGATGATGAGTGAGCCTTTTTCTGAGAGAAGTGTGTCCATCTCATATTTTGAAATGATACGGGCACGTCCTTTAGACAACTACACATGTGCACACACACGCTGTTAACAGTTAGCACAAACAAGAAAGACTGTCTGAACCTGTGTTTGTAAGTTTATGTGCATATAAACTCTTACTAAGTCCAAGTCAGTTATGTTGACAGTGAAGCCAGTGAGCAAGCCAATATCCAAGACCGACATGGATGCATCACGCTCCTTGTCCTTATACCTGTACAAAGAATAGACAGAATAACTTAAATACAAAAGATATGTGAGGAAAAAAAAGATATTTGTCAAATTTTTAACCCAGCCACCTTTGGAAAATTTTTCAATGGCTTGAAAATTGTTTGTAACTAAAAACACAGGATGAGATGCTAATAGAAGAGAGAGAGCAGTAATGTGCAACAGCTGTCAGTCTGTGGTGATGTCAAGGAAAGAGAAGGTAGGTAAATACGACAAGGGTGAAAATGAACATAAACAAGAATGAGTAGTGTTGGTGATGGTTGTGTTAAGTCGTGACTGCGACACATACTGTACTTACAAAACATATATTCTCAGGTTGTATACTTCCTCACTCTGATCCATTTTCTCTGGAGAAACAAAAGAGTTTTTTGGTTATTTGATTTTCTTCATAAAAAATACTTGGCAGCAAACAAGAGACATACAAGTAAATAACTGAAACAATACAAACAAGACAAAGGCAGCTAAAACAAAAATCAACAAAAGACAGAAAGAGACAGAGGGCACCAAGTGACCTGGGAGGAGCTGCACAGTAAGGCCAAACTTCTGACAGTCACTGTCTTTTTCTTGAGGCAAAACATAATACGCTGCGACCATCTGTCACAGAGGCAAAAGTAATAAGAAAAATTATTAAGAAAAGAAAACCAGTACCACTGTGTACAGCTGTATTAGGATCTTATCTTGTTGCATTACTAGGTAATAAGTGTCAGGAAGCTCTGTTATTACTGAGCTTTCATTAATCTCTTAGAAGGTCTCATTCATATATATATATATATATATATATAGCAATCTTTTAGAGTAAAGCGATGATGTCTGTTAGCTAGAAGACCTAAGGTAGACTAAAGAGTCGATGTTTTATGTAGAAAGAAATTCTTGATAAAAGGATATAGTGCTATGTTATGTATTTGCAAAACTGTTTAAATAATTGTTTAATCTGTTTGACCTTTGTAAAAGGACCCGTGCACATGAAATGCTGTGTGTAAGTAGGTGTCTAAGTTCATAAAAAGGACACACAGGACTGGTTTTGTCCAACACTTACACTGTCAGTCCCATTTCTTTAGGCTTCTAAATGTGATCTGGATACAGGACCCTCTGTAATAATGTGGAGACTTTGCTCATGTCCATATGTATGGTGCCAGAACAATGACTTTAGTCTTTGGCAACAAAACCATAACTGAAAAAACCCGTGCACATGAAATGCTGTGTGTAAGTTGGCACTGGAATATTTGTATTGGAAAAAACACTGTAATTTTAAAAAGTATTAATAAAGTATTAATACTGAAAAAATGACAACCTTCTGATTTTTTTTGTTAACATAAGTCTTTTTCAGTGCCAAAGTTGTTTTGTTCAGTGACAGCCTTCTGATTTTATATCAGTGTTTCTTGATGCCAGAGTTTTTTCTTTCAATTTCAGTTCTCTGTTACTGTTTTGGCATTAAGGGGAGGGCTTTGAGGGGCTAAGGAGAGCATGATTTGCACTAAGCTGATGCTTTTTGAACACATGCTCATGCAGTGAACACAAAAATAATCACCTGCTGTTAGGTTTTACACACTAGTAAGTACATGTTAAATGTAGCACATGTTCCATGGTTTTGCAGTGGGAGCTCTAAATAGTCAAACTTTATTATCTCTGATCATAGCTTCTGCCTCAGAGACAGGAGATGGCCTAGAAGGTGAAACCGCTGAAATGGAGCCCAAGTCTGTGTAAAGATGCTCAGCTGATGGCACACCTGACACTGTTGTGTTTCCAGTAACGGCCCCAATGCACCAGTCCAGCTCAGATAAAGTACCACTGAGCAAACCTGTTCTCCTCCAGTGGTCAGCGTCTCTTGTCTGTCTTTGGCAATACTTTTCTTACGTCAGATATGACATCAAACCTTTTATTTCACTTCTTCAGCTAGTGTTCACTGAACTAGCTATAACATCCCATCCCATCTTTTGTGTGTGTTATTTTAGATCTAGTGCCGATCCTACTAAATATAGCAACTCGTTTGCTGTTCACATCCTGCAGCAGTAACTTCCACTTCAGAACTGCTAAAGATTTTGTTTCTTTTGGTGTCCAGTGCCCCACCATCTTTTTCATTTTGGCGTTTTTGAATCACTCAACTTTTATTTATTTATTTATTTTTGTCACTTTTTGTGTGATTCTTGTGTGTGCATTGGGGGGGCATTTATGCTTATTAGGAAAGACTGGCACATGCTCAGTTTATGAAGACAGTGGGAATCATCAATGTAAGAACACAGGTGAGAAAAATCCTGTGGTTTAAGAACACGTTCATGAATCAGATGTAGACTTCAGGACATTTCTTAAGATAACATAATTAAAAAAAAAAAATACTTAGGAAGTTGTTAATGAATGAGCCCGATTGTTTTTTTTTTTCTCTAATCCAGAATTAAAACAGACACAACTATACACAACAAATGCTAAAATATAAAACAAAAATGTGTATCACTTACTGTCAGTGTTGCTTGTCCTTTTCCTGTAGCAGTCACATTTACATCCTGGTTTATATCGTTGAACTGTTGAGATTTAGAATATGAACACATGCAAACAAACATACATAGACATTAAAAAAACAAAGCAATCACTAGGAGTCATTAGTAGGATTACAGGGTCATTTGGAATAAACACTGACAGGAAGTCTGAATTTAAAGCTAATTTTATATGCTTAACATTGAGACATTTGTAGGCGTAATATGAAAGGAGACTGTAGGAGCTATTTGATATATCATTAGTATTATTGATAATCATATTTGCTTTGAGTGTTTGATTACTTTGTTTAATTTAGATTAGACTTAGTATTTTTGTTATTTTTCTTTGGTTGTTTTGCTCTTTATTCAGTTTAGTTTATTTGGGGTTAATTTGAAGCTGAGTGAATGGCGCTGCTGGCACCGTGGGAACATTAGGTTTATGGGTAGGTAGGCAGGCAGGAGACTGGCATGGATTAGAAAGGGCTTATGGTTTTTCTTCAACAGTGCAAGAGAAGCAGCACGAGGCAAGATTTCTTTGTTTTTTTGTTTGCCTGCTCACAATAAACAATAAAATAATAAAAATGGAATAAACCATAAGAAACAGAACTCATGGACTATGGACTTCTTTTGTCTAAGTACATTACTATCCCAGTGGTGCATCCGTAGCCTTTTGGTTGTAAACTAAGTTTGTTGTTTGTAAGACAGTGAAAAATCCAGAGCGAGTGATGACACTCTGTAGCATTATTTTGCCTTATTAGCCCTTTGCTTTCCATTGATCTCATAGTGCATTTACTGTAACATTGCCTCTCACCAGCCCTGTTTCCAGAAGCTGTTTTCAATCAAAGAGCCAAGACAAACCCACTGTACACTACCTGAGCCTGCTGATGTTTTAGAAAACTTTTATTTCAATTTCTTGTGATGGATCAGGCTCCTGGTGTCACTGTGAGTTTTATGGTTTCCCCCCACCTTTTTATAGTAAGACAGGAAAATAATAAAATTTATAAATCAATACATACTATAAAAAGTGCTACCTACATGAAAATTATTTTTATCCAGTACATTTCTGCTGTCAGTCAGTCTGGTGAAGACTGTGCTGTCCTCCTGCCGACAAACAGCTGTTCTGACAAGAGACAGTGCTGTTGGAGTCAGTGTGGATTGAACGGATCAAACACTTTTAATTGATTGATTGATTGATTGATTGATTCTTTCAAACATGCAGAACAGAACAAATGACAGCAACGCACACATAATTACACATATCCAACAAATGCTAATCCAAAATCAGTTTGCTTACACCTATTACATGTTTGAATGGAGTAGGAAGAAGTCAGACTTATCCAGTCCTACCCCATAACATCAT